CCTGCCTTTGCCCCCTACTCATCTAAGGCTACTTTGAAACTTGCCAATTAGAGCGCATTCATTCGACATGCGAGTTTAAGTCTATCCTAGCAGAACAGGAAATCCAAACTTTGGGCCTCCTACCTTCCCAGGAAATGTTCTGTCACAAGAAATTCTAGAAAAGACATCCACAGCTTCCTCTTCCCTCTGTGTTTTTAAGAAAGTAGCAGCTGCCACTCTTTTTCCTTAGGAACTTAGTTCTATCAAATTATCTGGAATACCATCTAGGCGGAGGTTTCCAGAGCATTGAAGGGAAACACTGAAATCAGAATCCTGAATAGACCTAATCACGAGATGGCTACAGAGCCACTTGACATTGGGACAGTTTGAAAGATTCACAAACACAGTTCCAGCCACATGAGAACATAAAGACTGTAAAGACTTCCTACAAAGTATAGGCTTTCATTATATGGTAGCTAAGCAGGATCTTTCAGAATGATAGTTTTACCTTGAAGGGGGTTATTATTTCAGCGTATATCATCCTTTTAGATCTGGGCTTTACAACATAACAGAGAACATAATGGCTTACCACTGAGTAAATCAAAATGACCAAATAGACTAAAGCACTCTACAAATATATTATGCTAAGCTGATCAAGAATGAGTTTGTCCACTGAATGAATGATATTATCCCTCCTTATCCAGAAACCCAACATGTTTTAAATATTACAATGTCTATAAGCTACCATTGCAATAACAAAGTAGAGTGAATGCACACTGGCTTTGAATGAGGAGGGCTGAGCAGCTACACAGCTGCAACTATATCACATAATGCGGGAGGACACACACTGTAATAAATCTGTGCCCAACAGACTTGAGGGACGTTGGCAAAAAAAATCTATGAAAAAACTTGTATCAAACTAATTTCCTATGACCACTGCAGTTCCAATTAGGATGTTCCACTAGAAAATTTTGACACTGCAAGTCCTAGTTGTAGCCTAAGGCCTAACCATATACAGATTTAACAAGGACTTTAATCTGTACACACGAACGCATTTATGCATTAAGTTAACCTAGAGCTAAATCTTTACAGTCATATCATTGGCATAGACACAATCTTTTTCCAGACGCAGATATACTGGTTGAAAGATTATTGTCTCCAGCCCCAGAGGCAACTGTTCCCCCTCTGAACTGCCAAGCAAGTATTCCCCGGGCCTTTTCAATCACAACAAACCAAGAATGCTTAAAAATTAAGTAAATAGTATATCCATGCTAATCCGGTTTATATGGACTGAAGTGATCCCACAAGCAGCTGAAGTGGGGGACCAGAGGAAGCAGTAACCCCTGGCAGGAAAGCTCTGGAGATGAGCAGCTTTTCAGTCAGCAGGATAACAGCAGGAAGAGGAAATGTGATGACACTCTATCTCTCTCTCTGTAGGTCTAAGGAAGAAATTGCTTTGTCTGAGAAGCCCATTTAGTTTTATTTACTGAGTGCTAGGCTCAGCAAGCCTTTTGATTTCATGTATCTGAAATATAAATTTCCCCATTTTGCCCAGCTCAGATAAATGATCTGTGACATCCCCCACAAATTAATAGAGATTAGTTCTGAGAGAAAACAATCTGAATAGTCTGATGTGTAGAAATGCCACAGGATGATTATGAAAACAGAATTATTTATGTTCATTACATTATTAAAAATTTCTGAAATGATTTCCTTAACTCATCTGCAGGGCAAACTGAGAAAACATTTAAGAAACCCTAAAAATGTAAAATCAGGCCATGCCAAATTATAGATTAGTGCAACTGTGGCAGATCATAGGGCATCTGTGTGCATATACCCATAACAATCTGTTATCTCATCAAAGAGTCAGGCTAATTAAAAGGAATTGGGCTCATATTGGCAGTGAGGGCATTTAGTTCTAGATAGGAAATAAAGCATCAATGATCTCTCTCTAAGCAAAGAAATGCCCGTAAAGAAGCATCCAAATAAGTTACATTGTGCTTCTGCTTTTGAGTCAGAAAACAAAATATTAGGAACAGAATAAGTTTGAATAGTAGATTAAAAACTAGGTGCTATTTAAGGAAGGAGTAGAAATAGCTCGCTGTGCCAAGAGTCTAGCTGGCAAATACACATGCACACACACACACACATACACACACATCCACATAGAAAGAGGCTACTGCTAATGACAGCAAAAAAATATTGCATAGCCAAATGAAGACCCAAGAACCTGAGACTGAAAGGAAGAAAATTAGGCACACAAAGGAATTCATAGAATAAAAAATTAAAGACCTTCTCTGTTATTAAATTTTACATATTAAATACATTTTTAAAAATTTATTTCTTAATTTAACATCTCCATTGGGACAGCTTATAACCCTAAATATTTTGAATGTGAGTAATATTTTTTCTAAAGATATGTAACAAACAAACATTTTAA